ATTAATTTCATAAAGTAGAAAATGCCATCCTAATTATTACCTGAAAAAAAGGCTAAATATATATACACGGAATTTTTGTTCTCCTTGACAATCTTGTATATCAGAAAATTTGCGTTTATCTCGTTCTTTCACGATATTGATAGCACGAGGTTTGCGATTCCTGGCATTTCAGTCAGCTGGGTGGAATCTTCTGGAAAAAGGTTTAAAATATCCTTTCCAATTACCTACATGAACAATACCAGACATCAAATTGCTTGGAAAATGCTGTTGTATAGAAAATGAAAACATCTTTTGTACTTGTTGCCTTTTTATGCTCATCATTAAAAATTTACTGAATAATGCTCTCTGATCTCAACAATTTGCACTGATATACCTCTATTTGTAGTCATCTATGTATATCAGACACAAGCTATCCCAAAATGGAACAGCATATGCATTAATATTGACTAGTTCGTTCTCGCACGAAATTTCTGCAGGTTGATCTTCAGACTTGGTGCTGATTCTTTCAATTGATTTTGATAATTTAAGTGATTGATTGAATATGGAAGCTTGATCAAATGTATGCGTGGCACTATTGTGGATGCAACTAAGTTTGACTTTTTGTCCAGAATCATAGATATTCAGTTTTAGAGAACGAATTGGGCAACAAAATACTCAAAATGTTGCCAGAATTGGCGATATTAGAGTCCCACATACTGCATTGCTCTTTGTAGCAAGTAAAATCCCAATTCTGTAACGTGGTATCATGTTGGTTTGCATGTGCCATGATCCATTGGGATGTCCTTACATTATATGATTTTACAAACATAGTCGATCACATATAAATTTTCATATATTGCCGATCTTTTTTTCAATAGTAAACTTTGAATGATTATAACTCTTTAAAGAGTAGAGATACTGACTCCGAGTTAAGTTTAAAACATACTAGAAAAATAGGACAATAAAGTAATAGAGCCCTTTTTTTTATTTTAATATAAACAATGCCATTTATTTTAAGCTAGAAAATCAAAGTAAGAGTTGCGAATATATATTACAAAATTTTATGCAAGTAAAATTGTAAAAAGCTCTCTATTAGTTTAAAGAGCATCAAAAAGTGAATCTAAAACATAAATTTTTATTTGAATATAACATATAGTTTAAGAGTTATTTTGAGTTTTGTAATTTTGCGAAGTTTGCCAATTTGTATAATAAATTTAAAAATTTTTTTTGTGGCACCAAAAAAATAATAATAAATCCGCAAAACTCCTAAAAAATCCTTATTAATGAAAATTTATATATGTGATCAACTATGACACCCCAATGATCCATGGATATGTGAGATATCCATGCAGTTGATCTGGGTCTGAACTCTCATATTTGACAAGGCCAAGCTGTGTTACATTATTTACATTTATTCCTTCGAGTCCAGTGATATGTTGAGTTTTGTCAACCGGTGTATGTGACAGAATAAGGCAAAGGATAATAGGTTTCAAATAAGCAGGCTTGCTCAGCTATTCTGAATAATGATTTCCTTCCTTAGGGTTTTCCATTGCCATTTGTAAATTATCCGTAATAATAATTACAATCAGACTGTCGAACTCTTGATTGTGATGTTTGGTAATTCTGTGCAATAATTGAAAAGACATTCGATTACTTCTCCCCAAAATAGTCTGGTTCCATTTTCAAATGATAAATTAAATGTAAGAACATCTTTAAGGCAAGTTTGTAAGCTAGTATTATTCGTAGCACATTCAATTAGCATTTTTGGCAATTCTTGTGCGGTGCGAGATTTTCCTTCTCCGGCTCCCACTAGAATGAAATATTCTGGTATTGTTGATTTATTAAGTTAACCAGCTTGTAATGATCATGAATTATTATTTTTTTTTTCAAAACATTGGAAGCTTGAAAGTCCCAAGAGGAACCACTGGTTCTGAGAAGAGGCCGGTTCATAGTAATGAAAATTAATCATTATCTTCTTCAAGATTATTTAAAGATACTGATTGCAAATATTTGTCATGATTGCAACCATGGGCGCAATTATGCAGTGGTTGCAAATAAAGTCGCAAGTTGCAATCAAAGTCACAAGTCATAAATAAAGTCGCAAGTCACATCAAAGTCACAAGTCACAATCAAAGTCGCAAGTCGCAATCAAAGTTTCAAATAATGCAAATTGCAAATAACATATACTAATAATTAAGGATACCGGCTGCAACTTTTGATGATCTTTGCATCATATAAAAATGATTGCAACTGCTGGTTGCAACCACCTTTACAACCATTTTGTTTCTTACTACTAATGATATAATACTTTATTTAATTATACAGTATTTTGCTATTACTATTAAATATTTCATGATTAAAAATCATAATACAATAAATAATTTCTGAACAAAAATACAGTAAATTAGTAATTTGTAAAAGAGAGTTAACAAAATAATATATAAGTAATAATTGCCTTACTTCTGATAAATAAGGTTTTAATCCTATTATTTATGTTCTCACCTCATATATTGGAAAATATTAACACCCCAATACTATATACATCTTATTATTTGTATTTTTGCTTATTCTACAAAGAACTTGGGCACAATATACCATTAATTTTGTTTATTTATCATCAATTAATCCACATAAACTTAAATCTTTGATAAAACATCTCCTGTAATATGACAATTATAGAGTATCAAAGATTTAACCAATCTATTTATATTTTTTTCTTTTATTCCTACTCCACCATTGCTTTATACCTTCATATCCTTTCATAAATTCCTTCAATAAGCTTCACAAATTTCATTATCAACTATATCCATTATCTTGCTCAATTTTAAAATACTTTCCCAATTCTTATAACTTTTTTTTTAAAAAAAAATTGCTGCCATCTTCTTGGTTAAGTTGATTGTTAAACAAGCTGACGTAGATGTACTGCTATGTGAATTTACAAATAATATATAATTACAAATATTCTCCCCTAAAAATAAGAATCATAGTGTATTACAAGGTTCAATTTGAAGATGGTATAACATAACTGACTAAAGCAAATACTCATTTGTAGAATTTAAAAAGAAAGTTGTGAATTTTTTAAAAGAAGAAATCACATTATATTTTCCACTTATAACATTACTATTATTATTTTACTGTAACATTAAAAAAACTTATGTAATGAATGGTTTGCGACTTGCGACATTGCAACATTTTAATGATGGCTGTTGCAACTATTGCCGCAATATATTAACTGCGGCCAGTATCTTTACATTGCAGCATGGATGACATGACAATAAACATATCCACGTAGCATAAAAAAAGAAAGATGTATGGTGTGAAAATAAACACGTAGATTGCATAGGTACATGTTCTTAACAATTTAGAACATATTGAATGTTCACCAATGATTTTGTAACAACCATGTTGATTGATCGGATAATGGTTCATAGCCATGATCTCATGCGCCTGAATCAAAAATCAACGGATAAATGTAGATCTCAAATTGAGGTGCATTTGTTGGTTGGAACTTAAAATTTTGTTAAACTTTTGATTAAAAACCAACGCAAAAACATGTTTTCTTGCCATAAAAAAAAAAAAAAATGCTCAGAAGGTCCAAAATTATGTTTTATTGTCAATTTTCACAACAATTAGTTTAAAAGTTAGTTAAGTAATTTCCGGCCAATTAAAATTATTAAAAAAAATTGTAATTTTGGTTTTTCTTGTCCGATGACTCTTGATTTTTTTGATGAGTGTATCAGTGCACAAAAAAATAGATAATAATAATAATTAGATACATGTGAAATTTTTACAGATCACAAACCTATATAAATGAACTACGCTCCCTCCTCCCTCTCTTCTCTGCAAGTTTATAAGAAATTAAACCTTTGCCGTACGACTCTAATATGCCAGAATAAGAAAAAACTGCAGATCTGATTAAAATATGGAAACGATTTCAAAAATCTGCAAAAAAAATTACGAGTTTTGGCAAGCAATAGTGACACGACGAGCATTCAATCTTTTATTTGTGTTAACCAACTGATAGTCGACTCAAGAAATTTTTGACCAACTAGTAGTCGACTAGGATTTTTTAGACGATTCCACCTCTAGCAAAAAATGTACCCTTTCAGTATGTCACGCATTCCGTGTCTATCCCGCGCCTATCCCGTACCTTGTGTTAAATTTTAAAAAGGGCAAATTTTTCAATCCGTATAATAAGTACGTTAATTCCGTATTTATTTTTTTTAGACACGGAAATTCCATATGTTATTTTTTATAGGGAATTGCTCAAACACCTTGATATTAGTGGAAGTGACATTCCTGATATAACTATCAATGAAATCGCGCGTTTGTGTTCTAACTTGAAATTCCTTGATTTGGAAGGTAGTGAGTGAGTGATTATGATATTAATAAAAAAGTGATAGACCAACTTGACTCAAATATTCGTTTTACGCCGCACGAAGAACGAGAGTTCGAAGAATCATCCATCAGATAATCGACATGATCGTATGATTCGCCCTTGATTGTTTTTTGATTGGTTGACTGCATCTTGTTAAAAGTTAAATAAAATTAAAAAATCTCTGTTACACTACTGCCCTACAAAAAGTTTAGATGCTTAAAATGTATTTAAAACATGCTTAAAATCCACTTGAAGGTGCTTAAAATGTGCTTAAAACATACCTTTTTTAATAATGAACAAAATTAAGTGTGTTTTAAGTAACCTTTTAAGTATATTTTAAGTGTGTTTTGAATATAATTTCATATACTTAAAACATACTTAAAATTCACTTAAAATGTTCTTGTTCTCTTCCATCAGTAAATTTTAAGTATATTGTAAGTATATGGTGTATATTTTAAGTGCATTTAAAGTCTGTAGATATTGACGACTGTCGGATGAAAGTAGAAACCATGTTTTTTTTTACATTACAAAATTAGCATAATTTCAAGATCGTCAAGATTGTCACATTGTGATAAAAAGAAATTTCATCATGCTTATCACGAATTAATAAATTTTTCAAGGTAAAATAATAACAGATAATAAAATGTCAGCATATAGTGAGGATGTTTTAATTGTAAAACTTAACAAGCTTGTAGACACACAAGAGTCTATTTCGCTATTATCTCAATGTTAGTAAAGAATGAATTCTTTTGTTAATAAAAAATTTTTTAACGATTATTATATTTAATATTGACTTTAATGCATGTATGAATGTATGTATAAAGGGTTTATGTATCATCGTCGACATGTTGCAACTAGTGTAGACATTTGGCATCGTGAACTTCGTAAAGGTATGTGGTGGTGGTAGTAATAATAGCACCAATAGTAGTGATGGTTGATAAAGATATATTTTATTGCTATATGAATATATAAAATTTAAATTAAACAAACTATTTTCTTCTGTTTAATTTACAATTCGTAAAATCTATCGATCTATATATATATATATATATATATATATATTACAAAAAAAGCATCATCGGCTCGAAAACTTTCGTTTATTTATCTTTGTAATGATGTTTGTCAAAATAGTCGTAGAAAAGGACCTGAATTTATTCAAGCGTTTAAAAAAGTCCTTCCAGAAGCCATCGAACATGCATATCGTCATGCAGTACCTCATGTTCAAAACTCAATAACAAGAGTTATTAATATATGGGATGAGCGAGAAGTATTTGACCATGATTTTATAGATCAATTAAGGGAAAATTTGACAGGTGACTCGATTCATCTATATTTGGAGGATTCTTGAAAGTGTTTGAGTGGTGATGACGATTAACATATTATTAATTTTTAGGACAAAAATCAATCACAAAAACCAAAGAAGTACAACCAGATCAAAATAATGATTTGCCACCAAATTTTAATCGACCAGAATTTGTAAGGGTTTTTCCCCTGATAAGATGTGAATGTTTTAAATAATAGCTAAATTGAAAATCCTATTCTATTTTATTTATGTAGATCAAATTAGCAACAACTACCAAATCAATAGTTGATTTAGAATTAGTTATACATGAGTCCAGTAATAAGGTTTCTAAGTTTTGGACAGAAGTTATGGAGGTTGAAGGTATTGTTTTAATGACGGTTAAGGGTTGATGATTACCGATTACTGATTTATGTTTATAAAATATTATGATCTTTAATATTGATAATTATCTTTATCTACTAATATATCCTCTTTTTGAACAGAGAAACCTAGACCATCTATTCTTTCTATACATCTTGATCATCTTCAAAGAATATTGAATGAACATGAAAGTCATATTAAAAAACAAATTAATAATAGAACAAATTTTATCATTCAAATGAAAGAAATTATTTCACAAGAAGAGACGAAATTAAGATTGGACAATAAGAATTTGACAGATATTCGATCTAAAATAGACGAATCGAAAGAATTAATAGAACAATTAAAAGCCATCACTGTTTATCAAAATGAGACAACAGAGCAAAAACATTCAAATCAAGTCATTAATAGTAATAATGATAGTACAAATGACTTTATTCAAAAAGGGGATGATAATAATAATAATTATTATTATTTACAAATGAAAGCCAATAATAATGAGTCTTCTTCGGTTAATAATATCAACAATATGATGGAATATGATCCATCGCAATTAAACCTAAACCAGACACAATTAAATCCATCACAAGTATTACAATCACAATTACTTCAGGCGCCGTCAAACCAACCCAATCTACAACTAATGCAGCAGCAGCAGCAGCAGCAGCAGCAGCAGCAACTACTACAATTACAACAATTACAACATTTACAACGATTATTCCAACCACAGTCATCTGCACAACCATTACCGCACGTAACACTTCCAACAGCCTCTCCATTCACAGATCAATTATCCACTACCACCGTTCCCACTACTTTGTCTTTATTTTTACCAGAGCAACAGCAGCCATCACCTTTTATAAATAATCTTTTCAATGAACCCACTAATAATAACATTGACAACAACATGATTTTAAATCCTAGTAATATTAATTCTTTAGATACTAATAACAATATTAGTAATGACAGCAATGGCACTAGCGGTAATAGTAATGGTAATAACAATGTTGATCCCGTTAACACTAATATCGCTAATACTGCTAATACCGCTAATACTAATAATATACCTGCTTCATCTTCGATGCCCAATTCTCCAATACCTTCTTCCTCAATTACAATTGAAGCAAACGGCGATCCTTTGATGCAAGATGAAAATGAGCAATAGATTAACAACAAAATTTTTTATTTATAACTTAAACTAAAATTAGAAAAAAGAATAATTATTAATTATTATTAATTATTCATTGTTTTAAACAAAGAACCAATAGATTGGATAGTTAATATAGTGTTGGTTTATGGTAAATTATGAAATAATTATATAAATGAACGACTGCTTATAATTATTGATTGCATATAATTAATTAATAAATGATATGAAAATCGATGAATGAAAATGACGGGACGCAGGAGTTTTGAAGTTTAGGTAGAATGTAACATCAAACAAATAAATGGTACGGTGTAGGGATTTAGGGATGATGATTTTATGCTATCAATTATGCATGCAATAAAGTAAATTATGCACCAAAAAATATCAATTATGCATAATGTATTTATATTTAATTATCTATTGATAAGTTCTGGCGATCACTATCCAAAAGAGAATTACAAACTTGAGATGAGAAGCCAAATGTAATTCAATGCAATTCTTGAAATTAGTGGCAATTGTTGTGACATGCCTAAACCAATGTCAATATTGATTTAAATCAGGATCACCAGATGATGGATTGTATTCAAGCTCACAATAAATTCTCCGTTCTATAATCAATTCATTGTTTGGATTTTGTAATTCTGTTATTACATTGTAGTAGCAAATATCTTTTCTTAATGTATTTATTGTAAGAAAAAAGGAAGGGTGAAATCTTTGACATGTCCTAAAAAGTTCTCATCCAGGATGATTTGAAATATGACCAAAAAATTTTTTATATGCAACTTCAAAGGAGTTCCTGACAAATCATCCGAATGATGTAATCCCTTTCTTCTGACCCCCCTACCAAAAAATCAGATGATGTACTATTGTTAATATAAACTGACAAGTTTGAAAGTCTAAATTCAACATAAGATAACCACAAATTGTTTAGCAGAGTTTGTAATAATATATATATATATATATATATATATATTATATTAAGTCCATGGCGATATTATGAATTAAGCAGAGAAGTAATTTCAATAAGTACTTCATGTCTAGAATTTAAAGACAATTCTTCATTGAAAAAGTTCTTCTAATATGTAATATGCTCATTGGTATAAAAAACCATCTTGAACCAAATGTTCCAACGAGTTTGTACTGTAAATGGCACTTTTTCTTGGTATAAGAATTTCATTAAATCTCAAATGTTAACATTCTTAAAATCTGAAAATTTTCTCCAATTAAATGTACACAAGAGATGTGGCATAAAAGTGATTTAGAGACAAAGATCCAAGGAAATGAATGACAAAGGAATTTTAAATGTTGTAAATGATATTTACACAAGTTTACACAACTGTTGAATTATTGACATGAGTTAAATAATCAACTGACACTAAAACAGAGTATTTAATACACTCCTCGAACAATAAAGTATTTTTTGAATTGAAAAATGGTAACAAATTATTCACTTTTTCTAACGGAATATCAGCACCGGGAAATACTTTAATCAAATCTTCAATAACAGCCTTTCCTGATTCATTTGATGAAATTAACGAATTGAGTGTTGTTGTTGATAATCATTATTATTATTATTGTTTTCATAAATTCTATGATTTTTTTTATGAGCTTGACTCGTGCAGTTGATTTACGACTCCACTTAATAGAATAATCACAAAAAAATACAAAAAAGTGTCCCGTTATCTACTCTAAATATATATATTAACCCATGCTAGTAGGAGTTGTAAAAGAATGGATGAATTTTTATATATTGCTATTATTATTACCATTTTTAATTAATATCAGTGTTGTCCATGTCCGCTGCTTTAAATAAATAATGTGAGGTAGCTTTTTGGCCAACCTCAATTATTTTACATTTATGGCCGAGTTTCGAGTCAACTTTTTAGCTACGTTCGTTGATTAGTTGCAATTATTTTATTTTATGAATTTATCCCGCTTACTTCCTCTTTCTTGTATCTAGAAAGCTTTGAAAAATCTGCAAGCGCACTTTATGGTACAATTAACAACGATTACAATAAGTAAAAACGGCCCTTCTACGAAGAAGCAACAAAGGCTCCTGTAGAGTTCCATTTTTATTTGCCGATGGAAGTCAGCCGTACGTTTGCAACAATCACTTTAACACAATACAGTAAAACAACCAATATGTGATAACGAACAACTTTGCTCAATAACCGTTAGCTCTTTGTATGGGTGGTCAATCAGTAATAACTGTTAACGCCGATCAGTCTTAACACCTTACTATTACGTTTACACTTAAACAACTAATCCCGTTTACATAAATTAAACAAAAGCATTTATGCTATATATAACAAAACCAAAAATAAAACCTTTGCTTTCTTTACTAAAGCAAATACACAAACAAAACCTTTGCTTTATACCAAAGCAAATAACCAAAACCTCAGAGCTCTATGCCACTCTGATAACCAAACGGACAATTAAACCTTACTGTTTAATCTCCGACCATAAAAGTGATTTATTAAACTACAAACGAATTATTTGTAAAAAAAATAATTTTATATTAACTTTCTTGCTTCTATATACTCTCTGAATTATTAATATAGAATTATTAATATAGAATTATTATTTATAATAATTTTTATAATCTTTTCTTTTAAAATTAATTATTTTTTGTTCCGCTAATACATTTCTTTAGATGTTGAATTATTCCCTCTTCCTCTCCTAATTTTTCAACACATGCTTTACAGAAGGTTCTAATAATAATATGTTGACGTTAACTTGTGGCTTGTACTACTAGTCCCAACTGTCCGAGGCATTCAAGTAAATGAGCTGTTACGTAGACATTTTGTACAACACTGATTATGAACATCACTTTTTATAAATTATGCATCATTTATGGCGTGATTATTCATTATATGGCAATTTTACTTCTTCATCCCCGATAGAGGTAAATGCGCCCCCTCATATTCTGCACTGCACTGCATGGGTATTTTTGAAAACTATCAACTAGACGAGTTGAGGTATAGTGCACCGCCAAATCTGCAAGCCCCAAAATAGCAATGATATTCTATGGTGTCACAGGCTTATAAAATCACATGACTCAATCATTATGAAAAGTGTATCCAAATAAATTTTTACTTGAATAATGAATAATTTAGATAAACAAATTAAACAAATAATTTGAATGTACAGATAATTCTAATAAACAAATAAATGAATAATTAAAGTAAAATGAATAATTTGAATAAACAAATAAAATGAATAATTCCAAATAATTTCATATAATCAATTTCTTTGAGTTTTCTTCACTTGATGCATATTGACAAGTTTTCTGCACCACATTTTGTTTTCAACAATATGCATTTTATATAAAATAATAAAAGACAATACAATTTATAAAAACAATAAATACACAAAAATAAAAAATCGTGTATCTCTGGTTAGTTATTAACACCCTGTCTTCTTTAGAGAACCATACCATGCAAAACCACAACATTCGCATTTCCTCATCTTGTAAAAAATAAATTGTTTTTTCTGGGAAAAAAAAAATCAATCACGTCGCGTCAACAAAATAAATACACAAAAAAAATTTTTTTTGTGCACATCTATCAATTAACTATTTATTTTATTTATTTTTTTTTTTTTTTGTGTACATCTATCAAAATTAACTTTTTTTTTTAAAAAAAAAAATTTTTTAATATTAAAGATGCTGAGACAGGACAAGAAAATTAGCAGTAAAAGAATACATGCAACGAATCGTGGTGTGCTTGGCGTGTAAGTATTATTTATCATAAGAATAGTGGTTATCACCACTCATTGTCACTCTATATTAATTACAATATACTTGTACTTTTTATTTGTTAATAATGATCATAGATCACAACCCAACCTTTCTATACTGTTACCATGTCAACAATTGGCTAATATACCACTGGAAATCTTTTACGAAATTTGCAAAAATACATCACCTTCTGATTTATTAGCATTATCGCAAACTTGCATAAAATTTCATTCAATATTGAATAATAATCAAATTATTTGGAAAAAAGCAAGGTTGATGTACTTTGATAGATTAAAGCAACCACCACCACCAGGATGGGACGAATTGAAATATATTAAATTTTTTCTCACATTTCCACCAGCTTGTTCATTATGTGGTAAAATTGATTCAATATCAATCAAAATTTATTGGGAGCTGCAAACAAGGGCCTGTATGAATTGTATAATCAAACAAACTAATGTTATAATGTAAGCAATTATATATATTATATATTTAAATTAATTAATTAAATTATTTATTTACAAAATTTATTTACAAAATTAAATTATTTACAATTACATTTAGAATCAATAATAATTATTACAGAATTTGGAAAAGAGATAATGATGAAGTAGGCATTAACCAACAATATATAAAAGAATGTAATGAGCATAGGAAAGAAACTGATCCATATTTGGCAAAGATTAATATATATGTTAAAAAGGCAAATGAAATAGTAGAAAAAATAATTATTAAAGATAAATTATCAATTAAATATAAATATCATTACATATACACTCATTTTACATCGTATAAAAGAGCAATATTTTATTTTGCTGAAATAAATGAACCACCTACAATTGATTATTGGGAAAATTTAAAAACCAGATAATTTATGAGGCAGAGAAGCCACACTGGCAAGAAGTAATTTTGAAATATTTGCTGAAAAAATGGCCTCGTGTTGGTCTCAATAAACAAGTTGCTGGATCTGATTCTGAAAGGACTAATAACCCTCTTAAATATTCACAAATTGATCTTCACACAATACTATTACAATGTCGAACTTACAAAGATCCACCACCACTATACAAAAAAAATGCCCCTTATACCACTTATTCTGACAAGTTTTTGGAGTCATGTGCAATTCCAGCATTAATCAAAGAAGCGAAAAAGCCTGGTGTTAATCTTATTGAAGGAAACCTTATAACAATTAAATCAGCAATTCTCATGGGCATAGAAGCACCAATTTTTAGATGTATAAACTGCAAAAAAATCAAGATTTATACACCTGATAACATGAAGTTTCATCTGAGATTTACACATAGTTTATCTATTGATAAAATTATAAAAGAAAATGAAAGGGTCCAAGTGGATTTGGTGAATTTTAATAAACAAGTCATTTAGCTTTGATAATAGGTAATGCAACCTGTTTTTTCTTTGAAACATTAGAGACATTTTTGAGTCCCTATTCTAATTATCCCTTCTTCATCCATTATTCCAGGAAAGACAATATATTAAAAAGATTGAATTTTTTATAAATGCTACTAGCTAAGACTATAAGTATTTGATAACTTTCTCTTTAAAAATATATATGTATAAATTGCAAAAACCTTTTCACATTCTTTAATCATAGTAAACCATTCATAATGACAATATTTTTTATATGATAATAAATTTTATACAGAGATAATTAAAGATGTAATAATTCTGACATTGTGATATATATATGTATGATATATATATATATATAATATATATTAATTATATATATTATTAATTGCTTTTAAAAAAATATATGCAAATATTAATAAAGTGAAATTTTTTTTTAAAAAAAAATAATTTTGTGTAATTCTGTCAAAAAGACTGTTTGGTTTACATCAGCAAATTTGAACAGGCATAAATTTGTAAACTGTATAAAAACTACAATGTAGATTTTGCATAAATGTAATATATGTAAAATAACCATTGAAATCCATATAAATTCTACATAAAATTTTGTATATTTTTATGTGCATTAAAATTCATAAAATTATATAAAATAACCATTGAAATCCATATAAATTTTACATAACTTATTATATACATAAATTTAGTAGAAATTGTAATTATTCAATTATTCTGTGATATCAATTATATATATTTATTAACATAAAAGAATTAAAATGATCAAATCTTGGAACAATGTGCACTACCTCATTAATTGATGATATTGAAATAAATTGAAAATGGTCAATTTTTTTAAAAAAAGGACAATCATATTTATAAAATATCTCTGTGTTATTATATTTTGCATCATACTATTGAATTAATGTAACATCATGGTTTTCAGTATTTATTCTAATACAAAGTAGAAATAAGATCTACAGGATAAAAAAATTAGTACAGAGAAATAAAGAAGAAAAAAGATACATATAATTGATTAATTACTTGTGCATAACAATATGTTTCATCAGAAATGTATTCTTCATTTTGATCTTCTGCCATTTCAACTGCAACATTTGAAAATTCTGGTTTGTTGTAAAAAGAGTTATCACTGTGTGCAATTGTACCATCTGGAAAATGCAATTTCTTAAATATTGAAATAGTAGATAAATTATCTACATAAATTCCCACTTTTTGAAATGTGTTAATGAAATCTCTTAAACATGTTGGAAGATTTTCCAATCCAACCTTAAATTGTATTAGCAAATTTGATAATTGTTTATTTTTTTCTACAAAGGTTTTAACTTCAGATAAAAACAATTGATGAACTTGAGAACTTAGTTTGAATTGATTGTTTGTATTTCTAGTATTTATATGAACAATTTGATTTGTAATTTTATTAAGAATATATTTTCTCCATATCTATTATTAAAAAAAAAGTTTAATCAAATAGCAATATAATAATTATACCAACTATAATCAATATATGACTTACAATAGCAAGCATTTGGGAATCAAAATTCTGTTTGTTTGTTCTTTTATAATTATTCTTTACATATGACTTGTGCAATGCTTCATATGTTTCAGTAGTAATACCATTGAGAGGTCCAAATTGT